GAATTTCGTATTTAGAGGAATCAGAACCGGGAACACCCGAGAGAAAGCTGAGGCACAATCCAGGAGATGCCACCAGGCAGAGTCCATTCATTCATTCAATAGTTATGGAAGGCCTACTATGTACCAAGAGCTCGTCCAAACTCTCGGGGTATGACAAAGTTCCCTGTGCTCTTGAAACGGAAGACTAAGGGGTCAGGCCCTTAAACAGACTCAGTGGGTGCTACAGAGGGAGACAGGATGGGAGCTCTGGGTAGTCAGGGAAGTCGGCTGGAGCAGGCCTTGACCTGGCCTTGATGGGATTTGGATAAGTGAGGGGCCATGGGGAGCATGCAGGAAGAAAGAGCTATTCTGGGCCTGGGGAATCGACCTGGTTGGTCAAAGCCTGAAGAGTCCCAGGGGAATTGGTCATGTCATAACTGCTCTAACCCACAGGAAGCATTTTCTTAACTATCAGAGTCGGGTTATACGGTTTCCACAAGGACAACCCAGTGAACTTCAGGAATCCAACAGGAATGTCCAGGGAATGGGGAGTTCGGGTCACCTTTGTATTTCAGGACAGCTGAAGGGTAAGCTCACTTTCTCCTGAGCTACTGTGATTCTTCCCGACGTACGCTACTTTTCCCCCTGCCTTGCTAAGTGGCAGTAGTGGGAGCCTGACAGGCTCCCAGTCGAAGCTTGCATAGTCGGTCGGGGTGGCCCTTGGCATTCCCTGGGGGTTCACGTCTCTCTGTACATCTCTCCAGTCAGCACGCTTGCTTGTCAGCTTACCTCTTGCTTCGGAGTCAACTCCAGCTCTTAGAAGAGTCAAGGGAAAGACCACTGTGAATGGTACCATGTGGTATTTGGGTTAGTCGAGGTTTTCTGAAAGTCACAGGGGTGAAGTTTGGTAATGTTCTGTGTCCAGCCCAACATGAAAGGTAGATGGGAGGACATGGGAGGAAGAGGAAGAGGAATTGTTTAATCTGTGGCCCAAACCGGGATACTTTTTAACGTAAACGTTTTACGGATGAGAACTACATCCAGAAAATGCACAATCCCGTTATCAGCTCAAATGGGTTTTCATAGAGGGAACACCATTGTGTCACCAGCACCCAGATCAAGAAGCCACCTCCAGCTCCCCTTGTGTAACCGCTGTCCCCACTAGCATCCTGTAGTTTCGCCATTTATGCACATTGTATGGACGGAATCCTGGGTTATGTACTCCTGGGTCAATTTCCTTTGCTCAACGTTATGTGTGGGTTTCATCCATGTTGCATGTGGCTGCAGAATGTTCATTCTTGCTGCACAGTTATGTAGTATGAATGTGCCACAGTGTTTGCATCTGTCCTGTTCAACGGCATTTGGATAGACTGGTTCGGGGCTATGACAAATAGTGCTGCTGTGAATGTTCTAGAGTATGTTTTGGTGATGAGATGTGCAAATTTCTGCTAAGTACATGCCTAGGAAAGGAATTCTGGGATCATAGGGTATGTATGTCCAGCTGTTACAGACAAGCAGGACATTTCAGAGTAAAAGGGGGTACCGTTGGTAGTTATGACCAGACAGTGGGCATAAACCTGGCCTGGCCCATTCTAACTGGGATTGGCCCAGGACCATATCAACCAGCACTGACCCACGGCAGTCGAATATAGGGTCACCCTGGTGCACAGTGTTTGACCACTCTCCTGGAGAGTCACCCAGCTACTAGTACATCTGGTCATCTGGCAGGATCAGGTCTCCAGGCCCTGCTGACCACAAGCTGTGCTGCCAGGAGGCCTGGCAGGCCTAGAATGGGAGGAGAGCCTCTTCTGCTTCCAACTTTCGAGGGAAAACCTCTCCAACGAATTGGAAGGCCCAGGAGGCAGGCACCCCCGTGCCCTGAGCCAGCCACCCACGCTGCATGGCTGCAGGACGCCATGGACTTTGTCAGCTTTCTTCTTCAAGGCTGAAACCCAGGGCAGCCCCGCTCCTCTCCAACCTCAGAAAAACCTGAGGAAAAGGAGTGTATGAACACATACTAAATGCATATGTGTTCTCAGATCCCTCAACACTTCTACCAGGTCGAAAGTACTGTTGTCCCCATTATACAGGTGTTAAAACTGAGGCTCAGGGAGGTTAAACAACTTGGCGTTTAAACGGCTTGCTTCTATTCCCAGGCTAGGTAGGCCTGCTGCCTTCTCCCAGCCTGGCCAGATGGATTCCCTCCAGGCACCAAGATAGGTGCTGGGGATGTGGCCTTGAACTAGGTAGCTACATTCCCTGTCTTTAAGTGGTGCACTTTGGGCGGGGTGGGGGGCAGACAAGTACGTGGTAATACACTTTTACACACTGTGGTGCCTGCTGGAATGAGGGCCTGAGGAGCACAGGGCAAGGGCCCAGCGTGTGAGTGGAGCATCCCAGGAAACCCTGGAAGCAGGCAGCAGGGCATGTGATCCAGAGATGGGCTCGGGGCTGTGGCAGACATGGTAGGCTGGATTCAGCACCATTCCCCACACGGTTCTGGATGTGAGTTAGGTCCCAGCAAAGAAAGAGTGAAATTTGGAGGATGCAAGGAAAGGAGATATTGCTGTGTGGGCTATGGAAACTCGGGGTTTTCTGTAGCACATACAGTGTCCAGTCATCAGCTTTATGGGGATCAAGAGGGTAGGCATGGGGGCAGAGTAGCCTCCTGCCCCTGGATCACAGCTCCACTGCAGGTGAGGTCTTCTGATTGCATTCCCTACCCCCCACCCCCATCAGAGCAGAGGGAGGCTGTTGTGTTGTTCCAGGAGGCCCGGCCTGGAGCCGGCTCCTCCAGTTCCTCCAACGGCTTTTTAACCACCTAATTCCTGATACTAAATCTCTTTCCACCTAAAACATAAGGCATGTCCCACCTCTGCTCAAAATCCTCTAACAGTTCCCATCTCAGAGTAAAAAGTCCTCATAAAGGCCCACAAGGCCCTGCAATCTGCCCCGCTCCTAACCTCATCACCTGCCTGCTGCTCCGCTTCAGTCACACCAGCCTCTGTGATGTTCCCCCGACCTGTCAGGCAAGAGCTCACCTCAGGGCCTTTGCACTTGCCGTTGCCTCTGCCTGACTTGCTCTTCCCCCTAATATCCTCAGGGCTTACCCTCTCACTGCCTTCAAGTCTCTTTCAATATTACTGTCCATGCTATGTAAAACTGCACGTTTGCCCCTGCGGTCATTCATCCACTTTACCGTGCTTTTTCCCCCATAACGCTTCTCAATTTCTAACATACTGTATAACTGACTTTTCTACTTAACTGTCACCAGTGAAAATGGCATATCTGCTTCCTGTCCAGCGCTCTCTATTGGAAGGCCTGAGGATTTGATGGTTGTGTTCACAGGGGGATCCCCAGGGCCTTGCAAAGTGTTCAGACCTAAAAAAAGTATTGAATGAAGAATAATCAGCCAGAGTGATTTCTGTTATTACAGACACCAAGCCACAGGGCATTAGGTTAGGGATAGGACATCTGTCCCCAAACCTCAAGGCAGAGAAAAGGGCGAGGGACCCAGTAGATCATCATGGGAGTGACAGGGTGGCCCGGCCTGCACCTTGCAAGACACCTGTTTTTTTGTCTCACGGTGTTAAAATCATTGTACCATCGCTGTCACGTGATCTGCACACAGACTCATTTCTAGCAGGCACTACCTTCTGATCTTCTAGCCTGCCAGCAATCAGGGGAAATTGTTTTTTCCCTTGGTTTCAGGTTTAGTCATCAGGAGCTGGCAGCCACCTGACAACCATCTTGGCCCTTTGGCTGGGGCGGACCGGCTGGGTTGCTTGTTGGTTGATGGCCGGGCAGTGGTGGCGGCTCTCCAGAGTGTGCTTTGGGTGAGCGTCAGATTTAAGCTTTGCATGGGACAAAATAGTTTCTCTTTGGTCTGGGGAGCTACCTGATAATATCCAGTGCAACGAGCTCTGCGGGTACAGTGCCCCAAACAGGAATGGCTGGAAGTGCACCCACTTTAAAGCTGTGTGGACTATGAAAGCCCATCCAGGTGAGCCAGTGGAAGGAAATGTTAGGACACCGACTGCGGGCCTGTGACCCTGCTCTCTGGGGGCTGAGCTGTGTTCTGGAGTCCGGCTTGAGGCCCTGGGCTGGGTTTCTCTCCAGGTCACACGCCCTCTGGGGTTGGACGTTCATGTTAGTTTGTTCGCCAGCTCTAGTACTTGGGGACTCCAGTCCTGCACCTTTGGCCACCTGCTCTCCCCCACCTCACACCCTTTTGAGAACAGGCCCCGAGGGTTCAGGAGAATCTCTTGTGGTCTTTAACTTGTTTCTCTTGTCTCTATTCCCTGCCTGCCTTCCAAGCTGTGTGAGACTAAGTGCTGGGGCTGGGGAAGGGGACTAGTGACCCCTGAAGTCTTCAAGAGTGACTGTCCTCCACGATTTGTGGGGAGGCGCCCTTCTACCCAATGTCTGGGGTCGCATGGGTCCCCGCTGGGTCCTTCTGTCTCCCTAGCGGCGCACTACTCTAACTGGGATGTGTCCTGGGTTCCACAGTGCTCTGTCTCCTCCAGGACCCCGTGAACCTTTCTTAGGGCTGAGAGCGTGACTCTGGGGTCTCCATACTGGGGACGAGCGGGAGGACTGCTGCCTGCCTGATCCCAGTAGCACGTGGGATGCCTGGGCTCTGCTCAGGGCCTGGCCGGCCAGAGTCTGGAGAGAGAAAGGGAGAACAGGGTGGAGGTCGAAGGGTGGGGGCCGGGGTTGAGGAGGAGGTGGGCTAGGGGTGAGGGGAGGAGCCAACACCAGGCCCGGGATTTGTCGGAATCCTCCGGGGCTTTGTTTTGTTCTTCTCCCCACCCCCGAGCCTCGCACCAGGGCCTAAGGGGGCCTTGGCGCTCAGCACAAGTTTGGTGAATGGATGGATGAATGAGAGCCAAAGGAGCTGGGGGAGGGGCGGAGGAAGTGGGTAGCTGGGGGGAGGGGAGAGAAGCAGGCTGGGGGAGGGGAGGTAGCCACTGGCGGGAGGGCGGAGGAGGAGGGAGGCGGGCGGAGCAGGGCGAGCCTGCTGGTTTGGAATCTGGGTAGGAGATGGCGGCCCGGACGGGCCTGCCCGGCTCACCTCTCCATCACGCTGGTTTAAACCTCATTACTCCCTGCTCACCCAGCCGCCAGGCCTCTCTCCCGCTCCATGAAGACCTGAGGGTCGTAGGTCTTCCTGGGCCTACTCCTTACTGAGAATTGAATGGCGCCATTCTTAGTCTTCTTACTTACTTTGTAGGAACCCAGCCGCTATGGGGTCGGTGGCCCTCTGGGGCTTGAATACCCGAATGGCCCTGGTGGACAGATGGTGAACCTGAGCTTGGACACCCCCTCCCCTTTCCCCACTCTGAGGTCTGGATGACGGAAAATACAGCGACTAGGATCTGGGCCACCTTGGAGAGTCTGGGGTGGGTCTCCAGGAGTAGAGCAGGGAGCCGGTGGGCAGAGAAAATCCAAGGGCTTGCCTCACTGGCAGCTGCCAGGGACTCCTACGGGAAGCAGCGGAGCTCAGTGTGGACAGTGCCAGGCAGGAGCTGCTGACAGCCAGGTTTCTGGGTCACCATCCAGGGTGCCCTGCCAATTCCCAGGCCTTGGGGGTGGGGTGAGGGGTGAGGGCCGTCTGCATCCCAAGCCCAGACCCTGCTGTCTCCTTTGTCTGGGTCACTTCGGGGCCTGCTCCCATCCCCCACTTCCAGCCTTGCTGGGGCCTCGGAGCCAAGGAGGAGTTGATCCTGGAACTTCCCTTGGGTTTGTGGGCCTGCTGGCCTACCTGCCCTGAAGGTGGGGTGTATAAAGGTGATCTAGAACCTTTCCCACAGCAACCCCTTGGCTTGGGTCCCTCTGTCCTCAACCCCTGCTCCTGGGCTCTGCCCACAGTTGTATGCATGTCTTTTTCTGGCCTTCTTGTCCTTGGTGGGAGGGGTTTTTGTGAGCAGGATATCTTTTGTGGGCAGAAATCCTTCTAGTTCTCAAAGAGGGAATTGACCTTTCCAGTATCATGAGGTTGGCACCTGGGTCCAGCTTAAGCGGTGGCTTGGTCCCCAGAAGTCTACAATACTTTTCTCTCAAGAGCTCTGAGTATCCATCCCACAGTGAAACTGAGGTCCAAAGAGATTAAGCATCTTGCTGTAGGAAGGGGTAGAAACGGATAAAAGGTGGAGAGAGTGGAGGTGGGGTGGGGAGCTAGGTGGCCTTTGGTGGCCACAAAGTGTTGGGGGTGTTGGGGTGTGACTCAGAGATTGGGAGCCTGTGCGCTGGCCAGTGGTACAGACAGCTGGAGGGGTGGGGACAGAAATAGCATGAGTGCTCATTACTCCTAGATGGGGGGGGGGATCACATCTCCATTTTGTAGATGAGGAAATTGGGGTTCAGTAAGGTCAGGTGACTTGGATTCAGAATACCTACAAGTCTCAGTGCTCTGAATCCTGCCCCTCCCCCACCCAGCTCTCCCCACCCCCTAACCTTGCTCTACTTTTTTTTTTTTTTATTCCATAGCCCTTATCTGACATCTAGACTGTGCTGCCCATTACTGTTGCCACCAGGCCCAGGTGGCAACTGAGCCCCTGAAACGTGGGGGGTCCGAATTGAGGTGCGCTGGAAGTGCCAAGTACTGTGGATTTCCAAGGCTTAGAACAAAACAACCCGCAGCAATACTGATTTTTTGTATGTTGATTATATGTTGACATGATACTATTTGGTCATATTGCCTTAAATGAAATATATTATTAAAGGGCATTTCATGTATTTCTTTCGACCATCTTAATATGGCTGCCAGAAAAACTAACGTTGCATATGTGCCTCCCGTCCTATCTCCATGCACAGTGCTGGTTTAGATCCTTGGCTTTTTAGTTATTGTCTCCCCTCCACCCCCCAATATCTGCTCAGGGAGGGCAGGAATCAACATATTTTGTTCATGGTCTTCTTGGTCCTGTCCCAGGTTTTTAAGAGTCTGGCACTGGATTTTATTATAGGTGTTCAATAAAAATGTGTTTAATTGAATCCAGCCGATCTGATCCTAGGCCGAGGTCAGAGGGTTAGGAGGAGTGCCTGAGGAAGGGGATGTTTTACCCCGTAGGACCCCAAGTTGCCAATCCCCTGCCGCCCCGCGGGGCTCCACAAGGTGAGCCTGTCGACCAGCAAGGGAGGGGGTCTTCCTGACACCGTGCCTGCGCCGTGTGTGTGTGTGTGTGTGTGTGTGTGTGTGTGTGTGTGTGTGTGTTGGGGGGGGGGGGATGGGTGTGAGGTCCGGCAGCTACTGAGCGATGCAGGCGGGGAGAGGGGGATCTGTAAGCGCCGCCGGGCCCAGGCTGGGGGTAGCCCCCAGGTGCCCACTTTCTTGGACCCTGACTGCGCACCCGGGAGTGGTGGGCTTGGGGGTGTGTGTGTTGTCGTCTGCGGGTAGGGTGTTGGGGGTGTGCCCAGCCTGGGCTCACACAAGGTCACTGTGTCAAAGGAACGTCCGAACACTTTCTCTTTCCCTGTGATTCGATTGCGGCTCCGAAAGCCCCTTCCGTAGGGACTTCCCTCCGCGCCTGACTCACGCTGCCTCATGCGTGTGACTCAGGCCGGGCGCTGCGCCAGCCCTGCTGTCCCCGCCCCCGGGCCCTGCCACCGAGCCGCAGGGGCGGAGGGACGGGCCGGCGACAGGAGGCGGGGCGTGCAGGGACTGGGTGCCCGCGGCAGAGATGAGAGACTGTGGGGCACAGGGGACAGCCCAGAGGAGAGTTGCAGAGAAGCTGAGCTCTAGGCGGGGTGGCCCGAAAGCCAGCCATGTAGGAGAGAAAGGGTGACAGAAATGCGGACAGACTGAAAGCCAGAGACAAGAAGGCTAAGAAATTGGGAGGACAGAGAGATAAAGTGGAGAGGGACACAGAGACCCAGGAAGGAGAGAGCCCAGAGCCTTCACGGAGGCCAAGGCGGACAAGTGAGAAGCAGGGACAAGTGACCAGTGAGAGGGAGGGAGGAGAGAAGGGTGGCAGGGGCGTCTGGGCGCTGCCACCCTGAGTGCTGCTGACCCAAGGGGCCTGCAGCCTGTCCCCAGAGGCTGGGCTCAGACCATCATCGCCTCTGAGCCTTGCTCTCCTCTCCCAGCTCCACCTTACCAGCTCTGTAACAGTGGGCAAGTTTCTTCCTGTCTCTGGGCCTCAGTCTTCTCATCTGCAAAATGGGAGGTGGTGGTGGACAGTAATCCTATCCCCCTGAGCTCCCTCATCCACCCCTTGCCCTCCCCATCCATCGGTGCTCTGGTTCTGGGCCTGGGCCCCCTTGCCAGCTGGCTTTCTGTTGGGCAGCACCCACTCTAAGGAGATCTGAGGGAGGGAGAAGTGGGGATACTCCTTCCCAGGCCTGGCCCTGCTGTGGCCCCTGGTCTGGCTGTCGCTGTGTCCCTCCGTGACTCCCCTTCCATCTTCAAGCTCCCGGCGCATCTACCCCTTGCCTTTTCAGGCCTGCAGTCACGGTGACTTTCTGCCGCCACTGGTCCCAGTCCCACGCACACCCTCACTGGTCCTCTTCACCCCATGAGCACCCCTCCATCAAAGCCTCTTGAAGACCCCAGGTTGGGTTCCATTTCCTGCCAGGGCCCTGACTGTGCACAGGGCTCACCCCCCGGTCAATTGCCCTCTTACCATCCTGCTCTTTCCTTCCTAGAGTAGCGGTGGGAGGAGACGCTAACCCTCAGTGGAGTGATATACAACGTTAAAAAGCACTCGGGTACCTATTAGATCTTTACATCATCAGTGCGTCTGAACAGGTGTGGAGTTAGCTTCATTTCAATGGGAAGCGCGAAGCTCATGCATCTAGGAAGCAACACAATGGAGTATGGGTGGCGATGTGGGCTGTTTTCTATGGGTGACAGGCCAGGTTGCTGGGGGGCAGCTATGAATGACACTAGTGGCAGCTAAGATATATTCATACTTCTCAAGTGGGGCGCCTGGCTGGCTCAGTCCAAGGAAGATGCGGTTTTTGATCTCCGGCTTGAAAGTTTGGGTGTAGAGATTACTTAAAATCTTTAAAAGAAATACTTCTCAATTGCCGGACACAGTTCTTTTTCTTTAAGTTTATTTATTTTTTGAGAGAGCGAGCATGGGAGCATGAGTGGGGGAAGGGCAGAGATGGAGGGGGACAGAGGAACCGAATCAGGCTCCATGCTGACAGCAGAGAGCCCGATGTGGGGCTTGAACTCGCAAACTGCAACTCACAAACGCTTAACTGACTGAGCCACCCAGGCGCCCCCAGACACAGTTCTGATAATCTCTTATTTAACTCCTTAGTCCTTACAACAACCCTCTGAAGTGGCTATCCTTACTGCTATTTTACAATTGCAGTGACAGAGGCACAGAGAAGTTGAATAGCTTTCCCAAGGCCTCACAGCAGAGCTGGGCTGGAACACAGTCAGTCTGGCTCCAGATCCGACACTCAGCCTCTCTTGGGTACCTTGGGGAGGGGTAAACAGGACAAGTTCTGGGCAGAGTGGACAGGATGGGCAGAGTCTTGGAGGGAAGGCACTTTTGCAGTACGTTTCAGAAATAGCCAGCCATGCTGTAGTGCAGGGTCGGAAAACGAAGCCACAGAATTTGACAAGAGAGTAAATGGGACCTGATATTGGGGTGCCCACCTGACAGCTGGAGGCATGGGCTTTATTCTGAAAGTAATAGGGAGCCATGGAAGGTTTTTAGCAGGGGTGGGATAGGTTGGCATTTTAGAAAGGATTACTTTGAAATGCAAGGGAAATGCTGCATTTCTCCTATCAAATGGCAAAGAGCTTTAAAATGATAATTTCCAGTACTGGCAACGTTTCAGCGCACTGAGTGCTCGCACATGTAGCTGATGGGAATGAGTTAGTTTGACCTTTCTGGAAAGCAGCTGAGCCACGTGTAGTACTTGAGGAGGGCCCAGGCCTTTGACCTGCTAATCCCATTTCTAGGAATCCTTCCTCCCTCAAGAAAAGAGGTCAGAGATTTATGTCTCAGGATCAAATTTACTCCATCATTAATAATAATAGTAATAATAATACAAGGAAATAATGTCAATATCCAGCAGGAGGGAATTGCTAAACTAAAGAGTAAAGTATCATGGAATGTTTTATGGCAATTAATATATTTTTTCAAAGAGAGGAAATGCCATCAAAAGTGCTTAAAGATTTCTAGAGCTTTGGGCCCCTGGCTGGCTCAGTGGGAAAAGCCTGTTTATCTTGATCTCAGGGTTGTAAGTTTGAACCCCACATTGGGTGTAGAGTTTACTTAAAAATAAAATCTTTAAAGGGCCCCTGGGTGGCTCAGTTGGTTAAGCATCTGACTCTTGATTTTGACTCAGGTCATGATCTCACAGTTTTCGAGATAGAGCCCTGCATCCAGCTGTGTGCTGACAGTGCAGAGGCTGCTTGGGATTCTCTGTCTCCCCTCCTCTCTCTCTCTGCCCCTCCCCTACTAGTGCACCTGCGGATACTCTCAAATAAACATTTTTTTTTAATGTTAAAAAAAAAAAAATAAATATTTTTTTTTTTTTTTTTTTTTGAGAAGGAGAGACAACATGAGCAGGGGAGGGGCAGCGAAAGAGAATCCCAAGCAGGCTCCTTGCTGCCAGGACAGAGCTGTCACAGGGCTCAAACTCATGAAACTGAGATCATGACCTGAGCCAAAACCGAGTTGGATTGAGCCACCCAGGCACCACCCCCCCCCCCGCCCCGCCAAATAATTATTTGCTTTTTAAAAATGTTTATTCAATTTTGAGAGAGAAAGTGTGAGTCGGGGAGGGGCAGAGAGAAAGGGGGACAGAGGATCCAAGGTGGGCTCTGAGCTGACAGCAGCGAGCCTGATACGGGGCTCAGAACTCACCAACCATGAGCTGAAATTGGACCCTCAACCGACTGAGCCACCCAGGTGCCCCAATGAAATCTTAAAAGAAAAAAAAAGATTTCTAGAACTCTTACAAGTAATAACTGAGTTCATCATGTCTGCAAAGTACATGATTAACACACTAAAAAATCAATCTTATTTCTATATGCTAACAATGAACACTTGGAAACAAACAGGTGCTTGGGTGGTTCAGGTCATGATCTCATGGTTTGTGGGTTTGAGCCCCGCCTTGGACTCTGTGTGGAGCCTGCTTGGGATTCTCTTTCCCTGTCCCTCCCCTGTGTGCTCTCTCTCTCAAAATGTAGAAATAAACTTTTTAAAAAAAGAACTTATTAAAAAAAAAAAGACAATTCTATTATAACAGCTCCAGAAAGGAAGGAAGGAAGGAAGGAAGAAGGAAAAAAAGAAAGAAGGAAAGAAAAGGAAAGAAAGAAAAAAAGAAGGAAAGATAGACAGACTTGTGTATAAATCTAACAAAACATATACAGGGTGTCTATACTGAAAACTATGAAATGGTGATGGAAGAAACCAAGATATAAATAAACAGGAATGGGGACGCCTGGGTGGCTCAGTTGGCTGAGAGTCTGACTCTTGATTTCAGCTCAGGTTATGATTCTAGGGTCGAAAGCCATGGGATCGAGCCCCACATTGGGCTCTGGGCTGAGTGTGGAACCTATTTATGACTCTCTTTCTGTCTCTCTCTCTCCCTCTCTCTCTCTCCCTCTCCCTCTCCCTCTTCTTCCCCTTTCCCCTGTTCACTCTCTCTCTCTAAAATATAAATAAATAGGGGCGCCTGGGTGGCTCTGTCGACTAAGCATCCGACTTCGGCTCAGGTAATGATCTTGTGTTTTGTGAGTTCGAGCTCTGCTCCGGGCT